AGAGAGAAGAGAGGAGATCCTCGCTTACAACAACCATTTCATCACTCCTTTGCATCTCTGTGACTTACCTTTGCGACTTAACACAAGCCATTCTCATATCCTTTTCATGCTGTGACTACCTCTGCTTAACACAAAGCCATTTCTATCTCATCCTTTTCTCATTCTGTGACTACCTTCGCTTATCACAACCCATTTCTATTCATCCTTTTTCATTCTTTGACTTACCTCTTGCTTAAAACAACAAGCCATTTCTTATTCCTTTTCATTCTGTGACTTACCTGCTTAACACAACCATTCTATTCATCTTTTTCATTTCTGTGACTTACCCTGCTTATCACAACCCCATTTCTATTCATCCTTTTCATTCGTGACTTACCTTTGCTTACACAAAGCCATTTCTTATTTAATCCTTTCATTCTGTGACTTACCTCTGCTTAACAACAAGCACTTCTCATTCATCCTTTTTCATTTCTGTGACTTAACCTTTGCTCTAACACAAAGCCCAATTCTATTTATCCCTTTCAATTCTGTGACTTACCTTTGCTTAACACAAGCTATTTCTATTCATCTTTTTCATTCTTGGTTGCTTACTTTGCTTAATCACCAAACCAAGCCATTTCTATTCATCCTTTTCATTCTGTGACTTACCTTTGCTTAACACAAGCCATTTCTATTCATCCTTTTCATTCTGTGACCTACCTTCGCTTATCACAACCCATTTCTATTCATCCTTTTCATTCTGTGACTTACCTTTGCTTATCACAACCCATTTCTATTCATCCTTTTCATTCTGTGACTTACCTCTGCTTAACACAAGCCATTTCTATTTATCCTTTTCATTCTGTGACTTACCTTTGCTTATCACAACCCATTTCTATTCATCCTTTTCATTCTCTGACTTACCTTTGCTTATCACAACCCATTTCTATTCATCCTTTTCATTCTGTGACTTACCTTTGCTTAACACAAGCCATTTCTATTCATCCTTTTCATTCTGTGACTTACCTTTGCTTATCACAACCCATTTCTATTCATCCTTTTCATTCTGTGACTTACCTCTGCTTAACACAAGCCATTTCTATTTATCCTTTTCATTCTGTGACTTACCTTTGCTTATCACAACCCATTTCTATTCATCCTTCTCATTCTGTGACTTACCTTTGCTTAACACAAGCCATTTCTATTCATCCTTTTCATTCTGTGACTTTCTTTTGCATATCGCAAACCATTTTCCAGGCTCCCCATTTGGCTTTACGTATTTCGAACTATTTCGTTGAGTCTTTTTCTATTTGCAATTTAGCTTGATATACCAAACAATACCTGCTACTTTGCATTACTACTCTTTTTCAGTCTGCATCTTAGTTTCAAGTATCATTAACTGCTCTCATGTACTACAGTCTTGCCTGCTTGCTTGCAGTGCATCCAGCCTGCAAGCTAACTTAACATATAAATCGTTGTTGATAGTTTCAACAGTGTTCAATTTACCTTGAGACATCACGAGTCGTTGCTGATAGTCTCTTTCAGTCTACGAAATTGCATTGATACAATTGACCTTTTGTATCATGTTTCACGCCCTTTCCTGGCAATATCGTAGCTGCTGTCATGTTACTTGATGTGTTTTTTGCGTTTAACACTCTTCTTATGTTCTTTTATGTTGCCAATGATACCTTCTTGGCTTCTTTAGTTTTCAGGTAACGGCAAGGGCGTCTTTGAGACGCAAGAAGAGCTCAGATGACACTTTAAAAAACAGTCTTTACGAGGCAAGTACTCTGCGATGCATTTTTCCCGCTTGTACTCTAAGGTCCTTAATAGAATGGGGGGTCTTGATAGTTGGGGGGGTCAGAAATTTTTCAGAAAATAAATAAGCGGGGGGGTCTTAGTAAGGGGGGGGTTCGGAAATGTGAAAAATCTGAAAAATCACGCTATGATTCTTTTTTGGGGTCAAAGAGATTTTCTTCTGAATACAATCGATAGCAAAATGACAATTATCACCATGTAATAATGTATTGTTGTATTACCAAAATGAGCAAACTAATTATTATTGTGTACATCAGTCAGGCCTACATGTAATTTTTTTAGGATATCACTACTTTTCTATGTTGAAACGTTTGTACAATGCAACCTCTTCATTTAAGAGAAACTTTACAGAAATTTAACACCTGCAAGATCAAAGGACAAATGAAATAAGGGATATGAATGACTGCATATAAAAATTAATAAACGGGGGGCCCAAATAAGCTCCGGGGGGGGTCAGAAAAAAATCAAAAATTAATAAGCGTCACCCCTTCTATTAAGGACCTTGGAGTAAGTTAAATATGATGTCTTTTGCGTCTTTGATCGCTCGGGGGCGATCATGCAAAATTTATCGTGACTTGGGTCTTGATTTCGCAGAGCCTATGAACCAGTTTTTTATATATTCGTGTATCTTGTGTTCTAAAAGCTGTATCTAGCTTGGTGGTCCAGTCTATAAGGATAGGCCTGAAGAGAGCAAAACCAACTCTGTGCTAAAGCAAAACTCCTTGTTTGTTTCTTGCTTTTTTAATAGTTAAATTTTAAAAGTTTTTTCATTATTTGAAGGAAATAGACAGCTTTTCTCCTAACAGTCAGCATCCACGTTAAGACGTTTTGTTGAGACCACGAGAGAGGTTTTTTTTCATACACGTATATGATCTCATCATTTTGGTACATCCAATTAGTTTCATTTATTAGTTTAATAAAGAAGCCAATTAACAGAGGAGGAAACAATACTCAGAATAAGACCAATTACGTTTTAATCTCTTTTCAGATCAGATATATTTTTTCCAAAGAAAATGTTTTTTCTACAGCCAACGACTTATCATAAAAACTTTCTGCTTTGAAGGAAGATTCGTTTTGAAATAAAAAGTTAGAAATTCCTCCATTTAACAATGACTTTACAACTCCTTCAAGTTTCAAGCAATTATCTTTTGATTCATTTGAGGGCATCCAAACGGGTGTTGGTTTTGTTCCGTTGCATAAATCTTGTATGTTGAAATGTGATTCGGTAAATGGATCTTCTGACTGGCCCGTAAACAATCTCAACAGGATGTTTTTTGATTATATTAGTTGGTCTATTTTATAAAATATCAATAGAAAAAATGATAAAACTAATATGATTGCAAATCTTTGTTTCTGTTGTAGCAGTCGAAGAGTTTGGGAACTGATAACATTAAAGGTATTTTGCTAAGTGTATTTTTCGTATTTATAATTCTAGGACTAGATACTATGTTTTGTTGTTCTTGGCAAAAGCCACTGCTGATAATAAGCCAAATTCCTCGATTATCTGTTTGGCATTTTGGATGCCCTAATTTATCCTGCATTCTATTTTAGATAACGAGGCAAATGAAGTGGATTTGGATTCCATGGACGAGGAAGAGGATGAGGACGAAGATGGCGAAGAGTTAACAGACAGTGATGATTTTCATTCGGACCACGCGCCTGAAGGCGAGGATGATGAGTTGATCCTGTCGCTGCTTGAGCAGCATTTCGATTATTTGGCTGAAGACATGCCAAACGAGGCTGATGCTAAGGAAGAGCTATATCAGGTTAATTCTAGTCCTGGGAGCGAACAGAAGCAGAAGAAAGGTCAAGGCTTTTTGAGTAGATGTCGTTCAAGTATTTCTGCAAAATTTCTATCCAGATCACAGAAGACAGGGTAAGATTCTCTTTTTTCATCAATTTACTTTTCAAAAAAATGACAACCCTATTTCACCGTTTTTCATCAAGTCTGATAGTCCTCATTTGGGCCTCTCCAATCGACTGGTTTTTTGAATCTAGTTTTATGTCACGCAGCATTTGTCTTTTGAATCTAGTTTTATGTCACGCAGCATTTGTCTTTTGAACAAGTTTGTGAGAGTTTTAAAGAAAAATGAGCTTTTATAATTGGATGGCATTCATCATTTTCTTCATAATGGTTTAGATCTGGATCTGAAATTGATCTTATTTGTATCAGATTTTTTCTAATGCATCTGTTGTTTTACTTCATCATTGATTCATTTGTATGAAACGACAGTATATCCGTCTTATGTACCCGTATTAATGATTTCAAGAGTCATCTAGACGTTGCTATAAAAGTCAATTTTGTTTTATTATTTAGAAGACGTATTCGTAGCGTATTTAGAGTTTTTATTTCTTTTTTATTAAAATGTTCTTCTTTCTTTTTACGTCAGGAAGAATTCTCAAATTTCAGAAGATCAGAAGAAACGTATTGATATGGTGAGCTACCTGAACCATGTCGCTCCTTTGAATAACTTTCTTTTTTTCTTAACTCATTAGCTTTGTCGTATATTGAATTAATCCATGTTCAATTTGTATTTTTATATTTAATATTTACACAGTACTCTATTCAATTTCCATACAATGTTTAATTTCATATGGAAATTAGGTTTGCCCAAGATAATAACTAGACGACGGCCGTTCTCCAGAAGGTTTGTTTGGTTTATTGGCTTACTGAAGAGTGGATGTTGAAAGCAAATATTATGAAACCATTAGTGTAACCCGGTTATACAAAATTTCAATCTATCCAACTATAATTCTTGATTATCTTTATTGTAGCTTAAAAGGGTAATGGATCAAAATCAAAACTATGGATCATCAGGTTTACGCGCAGGCAACTCAAAAGAGGCTCGAAGGATGAAAAAGCTAATGGCCCAGTCAGAACCGAATCTTTCCATCGGGGTGAGCAGCTTATTGAATAAAATGTTATCAGATGAAATGTCACAAACACTTGCTAGACATTATTCTTAGTAAATAAAAACTAGCAAGAGGAGCATGTGTGTACCTCAAGCAAACACCAAAGCCAATTTTTAGCTGATTTCGCCTGTATTTTGTTGCTGCTTTTTGTTGTTGTCGTATTGTCCATTCAATCTTCTTTTGGCTTTTTGCTACAATGAATTCCATGGCTCGAAATCGATTTTCCTTCTATTTCAGAAAGCAAAGCTTTCTGTGTCATATTTTTTTATGTTTCTATTTCATTTGTTATTCTTTTCAGGAGGGCTGTCCTTCAACATAAGCTGGTTTGCAAGAAAACCCTGATAAAAACATTTGATTTAAAAGCTGTTTATTAGATCAAATCATGAAACCAGTTTAACGATTTTTAAATATTATGTACATCAAAGTGATGGAAGGATTAAAAATAAACAGAAGACTATGTAAAACTGACAATGAAAAAAGTTAACTGGTGTATGTCAAAATAAATGCGCTGAATTTGCTTTGCTCTGTGCCAGTAGGCGACTGAATGTTCTTTTAGTTGTTGAATTTGTTCTTTAATGGTATCTCTTCCAGATCGCACCTCAAAGCAAAACGGGTCGCAAGACAAATCATCGGAGAGGCTCTGGGATTTCGGCTGACAGCAGCAGTGAGCTACGTGTGATTAAAGAAAAAAAGATTCCAGAGGACGATTTCCAATCAAGGGACCGGGTAAAGTATTTGAGAGCCAGCAGTACTTCTTCAGCAGAGCATGAAAAATCTGCATCTGAGTTGATAAATTTGTTCAACCTAAGAAGCAGTACCCCGAAACATAAACTAGACCTTCCTTTTAGCCAAGTGGGTAAGTCTATCAAATCATATAAGCAAAGAAGCAGTCCTGGGGTCTCCCCTGTCTCTTCTCCAACGAAATTGAAACAAAGCTGGAACCAGTTGAAGGAAGATAAAACGCATGAAGGCATTCCAGCCAACTCGATGAAAGAAGGGGCTGTTAAAAGAAGACCTAAGGCTGATGATCGACCAAGGTTTCGAAGCCGTCCAAAGTCTCTTGTTTTACCTTTACAAACGTCTCTCGATGAATTGATTGAAGTCCACTGCAGCAAAACTAATTCTGACTCTGAGTTGAATGATGACTGTAAACTAGAGAGCAAAAAGAAAGCACATACCCGTGTGGATGATGAGAAGCCTGGTAAATACGCAGAATCTTCTCAAAGCAAAGTTAACTCAAATAAGGCATCGGTTATCGTCCGGCCGATAGAAATAGAGGCTGATGACAGTCTAGAGAGCTCTGCAAGGAAATCAACTTTAGATAACACAGTGATTTTCAATGATGGAAAGAACATGGAAGTAGCAAATGAAGCGCCTTCGCAAGATCGTGTGGGGTGTATTGAGGCTCATGCCGGCACTACAACGTGTACTTCAGAGAACCAAGCAACGTTAAACGTGAAGCTTGTTGTCAGAAGCAAAGAAGTTGCTCCTGCCAGAGAAGAGCCACAAAGAGAGGAAGGCGAAGCAAACGAGGAAGCGAAACCGAAACACGATAATGAAAAGGTTAATCATTTTCTTTTTTAAACGACACAGCTGCTTCAGGAACAAAACGACTATCTTAAGCAAATTGGTAACAAACGTGAAGATGGCAATCAAATTTAATGTAGAGCAGATATTTATGTATCGGTTAGCTTATTGATTGTTATCTACTTTGTATTTAGCCGCTTTTTATTTACTTCTTTTTGTGTTATTTTGTCCATAGATAGAGACAGCTTCAGATGAACCATCATCTTCAACTCCGACGGAGTCTGGGGGTACTGAGTTATTTTGCTTTTAGCTATTATTTGTATATTTCTTCTTATTTTGTAGTTGGTATATTTTCCATTTTTTGCTGTCTACCTTTTGCAGATGATATGATTATTTTGCGTCGTGAAATGATTGTCTCTTATTTGGGTATTGTATTCACCTTTTATGATGAAAACCAGCCTTTTGTTAGATGAAAACGTCACAAACGCTGTTCCTTCGCCGACAGAAGCTGCCGCAAATGTTACCCTTTCTTTTTTACCTTGCTATTTGTATTTTTCTTCCTTTGTCCTGCATTTTCCATTCTATTTGCCCCTGTCATCTTTCAGACCCGTTTACACTGGTACGGATCCGAACGAGTGCAGATCCATTTCGGATCTATTCTAGTGTAAACATCATCAAAAATGGGTACGGATCCAAATCAGTTCACGTTGGCACTGGAACCGGTCCGAACGGATCTGTTTCAACACGAGTATCGTATGTTTCAAAACAAGTACAGACAGTGATGCCTAATTACCCAAAATGCTGCTTTTCCCATTTCTTGTGCAGGTTCTGATAATTTTTAACAGCTTGTGTCAGTCAATATTTTCGTAATTATATATGATAATTTGCTTTTGTTCTTAGCATTGCTAATAACAGAATGTCAAGCAGCTGTCAGTCACTTGTTGGCATCCTTTGATGCAATATCAAGTTTTCAAGAAAAGGTACAAACATTCTACTCTTTGCCCCCGATCGTGAGTTGATATTAGCTGTAGACCATTTCATTCTGTAAATATGCCCCGAGAGAGCCATGCTGCGAAATGTGATGGCAAACTAACGATTGCAAGATGTTTTTTATTTCGTTTTAAGAAGGCATTATTATTTTATGATTAACTTTTATATCTTTGTAATTTAATTTTATGATTTTCCAGGTGTTCAAAAGTGGAGACGTGAAAAATAAGGATGAAATTGTAAATATGCTCTCGAGCACTTATTGTACAGTTGCTAACGTTTTGACAAAACAACAAAGGAACCTCACAAATGTTTCTGTTGCTATTACTGATGCTGGAATCGACATACAGGCCAAGCAGGTTGCATCGTCAATTAGAAATATGGAGGAGAGCCCTAGTTCTACTGCTGATAAAACGAAGCAAGTTGTTGGCCTATTGGAACAGTATTCTGATGCCATCGTTAGATTAGTTGAAGTAAAGCTTGCGAATAAATCGTGAATTTTACAAGTTACATAGAAATTTTTCAAATTCAAAGCCAGGTAGCTTTCACTTATTCTTGAACAATGGCAGTTGCCTTTTTCTTTTGAAACCAGCCGGAAAAAAATATTTTTGTATAGTTTAACATGAAGTACGATTCTTCAAACATTGTTACAAGTTTTACTTTATGCCGCGAACAGATCTTTAATCAGTAGGGGTGGATGTTTCACGAACCATTGCAAAGTACTTTAGTATATTGAAAAATTTTAAAAGATGGTAAAAGAAGATTCCGATCTTCGCCTGCGTTGAGACAAATTCTGCTCACGTGACATTCTAACAGCTTTTGTTTGGCCAGTTTCTAGTTCTATTCGAAGAATCGGCCCTAGTAAACGAATCTGTTCAATGCATTAACGTATTCTTCCGTTAGAATAATATGCCGTTCAGGTCAGCTATTTATTTAAAATATTTCGATAACGTCAGTAGCAGCAAAGCAGCTGGATAATTGACACTCGTTCGTCTTTGAAATCAGCAACGAAAATTTTCGTTTTTCCTGTTAATTGAAAATTGTTGTTTAAAGTAGTGTCGTTTTGTTAGTTCCCGTAACACAAATTGTGTTTAAGGATTAACAATGTTTCGTCACATGATGTGCTTAACTGAGTTTCGGTCCATTTAGTTCTTTTTGATTATCTTTTTCATATAATTTTGCATGAAATTTTACCAACAACACCTCGATGAGCTCGCACGACTATGAACTTTCATTAAGTGATGACGCAACAACTGTACTTTCGCTAGAAATATCACAATGCTAAACACAGACGAATAGTAAAAGGTGCAAACTGTTTCGAGGGGCGCAAATGAATTATTTTTGGAGGAGATATGGGTGTCAGGACAGGCATGAACGACTCGCTTACGAAATGGACCGACCCCTAAAAACCAATCTAAGCAGATAAATACAATTAAAATGTAAAAAGAATACGTTTGAGGAAATGGCAAGAGACATCGCACTTTGAAAAATTGGGGAACTCATTCTCTTTGGAAATGTAGTGGCCTTTTTGTACTTTTTAGGGGTACCTAAAGATACCAGATGAAATAATTATCTTTGTTTTGCTGTAAATTTTCTTTAAGAGCAGTCTCTTGTATGGAAGATACAGCACTAATGGGGCACACAAGTCCTGAAGATACACTATGCAAGAAAGGTTCGGGGGCATGCTCCCTCGAAAAATGTGAGTTTCAAGGCCTCTTGCTTGGCTCTGATGGCCTCCTGACCACTGACCAAATCCCCCCTTACCCCCCAATTTGCGTCCCTGACTGTTTCATCCAGAGTTATTTTGGCTATTAGAAATCTCTTTTATAATGGGGTAGCAAGAATAGCAGCGTCTTGGAACCCGATTTGTCTAGAGCAACTCGGAGCCTCGATTCTGAGTGTTTTTCAAGATACCCTGAAATTGAGAGCCAAAGTGAGGCTTCAATATTTCGACCTTGTCAAGTATATCTTCTTGCGTCCACTTCCTTGCTAATTTGCTTTTAAAGACAACTGTTATTGCAATCTTTATTTAAGTAAAAATATGAACA